TTTACTTCAAAATTAAGAAATACAATTCTTTTTTCCATTCATTTTCATAATGAAAAACAAAATTTTCAAAATGTGTACAAAATGGTAAATATATAAATCCTTTTTTTTCATGCAAAAAATTATATAAAAACTCGAGATATTTAAAATCGAAGTTTTGATTGAAGTTTGTTCTTAGTTTTTGTGACCAAAAGCAGAAAGAGAAAAAATAAAAAGTCGTAAAATAAAAAAATTCTAATTTAGATATGCGTAGTATTTGAAATTTAGCACATAAATTTTATTTTAGAATCAAAACTGGAAACACAAGAATAAATCATATCTGGGTCTAGAAAAAGTCTTTTTAGTTAAAATATCTAAGAAAATTGACCATATTAGGATTTTTCCGTAAATATTTATGCTACGTGGCTCCAGTCCCAAAAAAATGTCGTCCTGTCATCCAGCACATTCTTTTATCGTCTGCTTCTTATCTAGGTCATTACGTCACAGTTTAATCAAGTAATCCGGGTATCTCGCTGACACTATTTCAATTTAGATGTGACAGGAAAGATGGCCGATTACTCAACAAGAGAAATTTCATTTCAGTCGCCGCGGGTTTCCTGTCTTGTTTGACGGAATGTATGCTTAACGTTAACCTTACATTTTAAAGCAAAACAATTTTTCGATAAAATGTATATGATCTTATTCTTTGTGTTTTTATTGTTATATTTATATTCAGGATATGTTTAGAGTGTAGAAACACGAATAAAATATATTTTCAGAAAAAATCCCTTTTGTTTTGTTTTCCATAAAGAACGGTACATTTTTTTTTTATTTATGGGATATAAAAATTCGTTAATACAGCTGTAACCTACAACATACATATGTTGATAGAGGGATCTAAGAAACAAATAAATAGCACTTTTGTTCACAGACCATACAAAATTAGATTATGAAAACAGAACATTTTTGGCTCCATTTGACGATAACTTTTTTTTTTATACGCGCGATATTTGTATTATTCAATTCTTTTATTCGATAAATTTAACTATGTTAATTCAAACATTTTTTTAATTCAATGACAACAATTGTACAATAATTGTAAAGAAATTGCAAAAAAGGATTAAGTCCATTCTTTAATAATGATAATAAAAAAATTGGTTTTGTTTGGAATCTATTTCCTTCATCATTAAACCTGTATTTGAATGAGTGTAGCAATGGAATGAAAATATTATTTTAAAACAAAAAATCTTTGATTTATCATGACCTTACCTTTTAAAAAAGTTCGAATTATGTAACTATTAAGGAAATATTTATGTATTTCTATAGAACTATCATTAACCTCTACTAAATAGTAATGTATATAAATGCTTTTAAATGATATTCCTTTACTATAAATTATATCGGGTACTAATAAGGATGTCAACAGTAGTGTATCTATCTTATGACCTAAGTCGTAATGTGTCGGTTTGGTAAACATAGATATCATTTCTAAATTAGACACATATTAGCATTTAGCCACCAAAAGTCTTCCTTAAACCATCTTATCGTGTATTCCTTGTGGGAAAGATACAGTCCCCATGTCCCGTAATAACCGCTATCTCTCATTTCACCCCTTACGGAGACATTCTTGGGATGTGACAGAGAGAACCGCTAAGTGCTATCATATTACGTTGTAGATTTGTTTACCTGTAAACAAATCCGCCTCAATTTCAAGATACAAATTTCTGTCTGTAGCGAAAAATGTCGCTGACAAGCCAAATTCATATGTTTACTTTCACACACAATATAAAATAAAGTCAATTGTACAAAAGAATATAAGATTTTTTCACATTTTTTTTTTACTTCTTTTATATTTTGAATTTGGAAAACGTCCAACAGAAAATCAATCCGTTTACTTTGTATCACAATATTTAGTCAATTGTATGATACAAAAATTTACTGACGATTTCTTTTTCTTTTTGAAATTGGAAAGCGTCTAAAAGCAATCATTGAAACTGACAATATGGTAGAAAGAATTGGCGAAAAATCTTATCATTTGATCAATGAACAACGTAGATTTAGCATAAAAATGTATAGATGATTTCGCATGATTTAAATTTTAAACTACATTCATTAATACTTATATAGTTATAACTATAAATGAAAAATGAATTGTTTAACTGCATCCGAAGAAGAATATGTGTGTTTTATTTTAAATATATTATTGAACTTAATAAAATTTTGAAAAAAGTGAATAAATCATTTTATGGCTAAAATAAAGAGTAAAAAATGGACCACAGAGAGCCTATTAGTTTTCAACATATATTTAGAGGAGAAGCACATTTAAAACAGAAGAAAGTGTATCAATTGTAGAAAATAAAATAAAATAATTATTTTTCCTCATTAGTGCTATTTTAGTCTGTAACATTCTTGGGAAGGAGTTTGATTTCATTTTATTTAATCCATTTCACAATTTGCAATTTCTCAGCTTGTATATATTTCTTTTTTCCATTTCCATATATCAAGCAATTAAACATATTTTATATTCATATAAATTATACAAACCATATTATTTCATCTGCGTTATTTTGAATTAAATTCTACTTACTAGCAGTCTTTTTTTTTTAAAATTAAATAGAATAAAAAGTAATTTCATTATTTATGTATATACAAAAATAAAGACTTTTTAAACCTGCAAAACAACATCACAGTCTTAAAGGTTAACCACGAAGTTTTACCCAAACAAATCCTCCCTCGATCTGTATTTACATGACTGGTAAGCCTGTATAAATCAGACAACTTTATAATTTTCTCACGGGTCCTTCGGTAACCATGGCACGCGGAATCTCGCGGTCCTCTATTGGATAAGATTCCTGTGTGCTGTGTCTGCCTCCTATAGTGCTGTCTTATATCGGCTCCTCTGATTCTGCACACTGTCTAGTAAGTGCTTTATCTGCTTTTTCGTTGACTCTAGAAAAGTTTTCCTACCAAATTCTCTAAAACTGAACCTACTCATTTTAAAGTTTTTTTTTAAATTCAATTATTATTTCAACACCTATTGTGGTTTTATTTTCTTTCAAATCATTTAACTACCTACCTTTGGGTAAGAAAACGCTATAATTATATGAAATGGTTTGTTCGTTTTCAAAAGAACCTCAAATTAAATAATTCTAAACACATTGCTGAGGAATACTGCATAAATCTTGTAAAATCTAAAATATTACTGGTATTTTTTATTTCAGACCAATAGTTTTAGATAATTATTGTCGTCATGGAAAAAGATAATTTGTATAAAAATTTGGATTTAATATAAACTTGCATACATGTATGTATATGATTTTTAGTATCCTTTCCTTTAAAGGAAACAGACTAATAAAACATTTTAATGGTTTAAAGATTCTTTTTATTGCTTTTGACCATAACTCTTTATACCTTTCAACGTTTGTACAAAATAAACAGACATTCATACAGAAAATCACATTTAAGAGGTTTTAACAATGTTAGAGATATATGTCACCATATCATATAATTGTCATCTTTACTCCAAAATTTAACAATATCCATTCCATTAAAAAAACTCAATACATAAAACATCACAATTAACAAATGTCGATGAATAAGTTTTAACAAAATGATATATATACGATGTCCTCATAAAGTTAAGATAATTTTTATGCAAAGATGAACTATGTAACTTTTTTTCCTAGTATATGCATTTCATTTGAAGATATAGTTAAAGAAAATAAAAACCACTGAATGCATGCCCTAACTTTTAGGGGACGAAAGAAAGAAAGGAATATATTAATTTAATTAAAGAAAACTCTATTAAGCACTCGTTACAGAAATACTACTTAGAATTAACTTTTCATATATAACATCAATCTATATACATTTCTGATTGCAAATCTCACTTAACAATAAATAAAATCGTGCGTTTATACAATTGCTTTAAATGAAAATGAAATGCTACAACAATCATATATCGGAAAAAGAAATATTGCACCAATGTCCGGATATTGCACACAATTAATAAAATAAATCAAGATTAACTTCAACAGGTTATATAATAAAATGATATCCAGTGCACATCTGAATTTCCTATGAAAGGCAGATTTGCACATAGGCGTTGCATGCTAAGTATAAGGGTAAATGTCACACGATTTAAAGGTACTTGGACACAGATTTGAAGTTAATATTTTATCATTTTTTCTGTATAATATCACGAATTATATATTTTAATAGCATTTCACACAAAAATTAATTAAAAATCTAATTTCATTTAAAAGTTATTAAAACTTTAAATTTTTAGCGGGTTTGATTGACACATCCTTGCACTTTCACAAATTTTAACTTTATTCTTAATCCTTAGGAAAAGTGGCAATTTTGATGTGTTTTAATGAGAAATATTAAAACTTTTATCAAGAAAAATGATTTTATTCAGAGTAAAAATATTAGAAAGCAAAACACCTTCACAAGTATCGTCATTCCGAACTAAGAGATGCGTATAGAGTTTAGCAAATCGAGCACACTCGTGTTATGTACACAATTTTTGTAAACAGGGATAAGTGTTCTGTTATTGTTTATATTTAGAATTCACCGGGTGCGTTCAATCGTCACAGTCTGCTTACCACAACTGCACGGAATGACAATATATTGTGTGTTTGTTTTGCTTTCGAACGTGTCTACTCTGAATTTTCTGGATTATAGTATTAATATTTTTCATTTATGCAAAACGAGATTGCCACTTTTCCAAAGGATTAAGAATAAAATTAAATTTGTGAGAGTGCAAGGATATGTCAATCAAACCCGCCGAAAATTTTGAAATTTCAATATCTTTTAAACGAAATAAGATTTTTAATTAATTTTTGTGTGAAATGCTATTAAAATATATAAGTCGTAATATTATAGAGAAAATAATAACTTCAAATCTGTGTCCAAGTACCTTTAAACAATCATAAATATTGATTTAGTACCATCTATACAGTAGATATCTAAAATATATTACAGATAAATCAGTCAGTAAATTACTTCTTAATTATCCTCTATTGGGTTAACAAAATTTTATTTCTGCCTACACAATTTTATCATTTATTTAAAAGACAAAAGAAAATAAATAAAATAGATATCACAAGAAATCATTGTCTGACCTCATAATAATATAAAGGAGAGCTTTATGTTCATTACACATACACCACATGCCGCATTTGTATGTAAACTCACTTAAGTGTCTCCTCCGTTTGCTTACTACACACTTAACATAACTTTGTACACTTTATATCACAGGCTGCTTTGGAAAAAGATCCTGAAAAAATATTAATGTTTTATTTTATTAATGAAAGCGATTTCAATTTTATTCCAAAAATTAAAATTCAAAAGGTTTCATAATAAAAATAGAACTACACACTGTAAATGTGTGTATAAAAATCATTTCTTAATAAATAAGATTTATTTTTCAATAAAATACTTCACTTCACGTTTACAAAAGTATACAGGTTGGATAAAATTAAAAATATATCAGAGAATTCGTCCACATCTTACCTAGATATACACTTTGGTCAATCAAAACTTTGGTAATGCCAGTACGTTGTCATACTCCTAAAACATAGATTGGTCTTAAGTAAACGGGATAATTTCAATAAACATCAAACTTATGGAAAGCAGTATTCGGACATTTTTTTTCTCTTTTATCTTTTTCCCACATTGCCATTTTCTGATTATTTATATCATTAACTTATACCTTTGACCTGAATATATTTATGCTGTAAATATTTTTCATTGTCCTCATGTACCATGTATTTTAAATGGTTTTGAGAGAATAAATGAACTTGAACTTGACAACATAACGTTCTTTTCTTTCCTATATTTTTAATTATACGTTGTTCAAACTTTTAATCACATTTTAAAAAATAAAGTAATGGAAAAGGGAAAAACTTTTTTTTCAATTAATAGTCTCAACAATCTTTTTTTTTTTTTGCAAAATACATAATATATTATTCATACTAAAAACACTTAGCAAATGTAGTTTTTAAATCCCATTTCTTCATAAATTATGGAGATACCATTACTTAAAGAGGAAAAAGATCTTCCACAGAACTAAGTCATGTATTTTATATATTCATAGTATCCACGTGCACGGTACAAAAAATAAACTGAAAAAGGAAAAAAGGAATTCAAACAATGTTGTTACAATAAATGAAATACTAAACCTAACCTCAAGGGAACAGTGGTTATTTTTTTTTAATTTTGCATTTTTTCATTAAAAAAAAAAAAAGAAAATCATATTATAGAAAAATTTACGTTAAATACATATAATATGTATATTGGGCTTCATTTAGGACGATTTTTTTTTTATGAAAAAATATAATTCCTGTGGTGTTATATTCTTGTTTCTTGTTTTTAAAAAAAGATAATAATAATTTCAAAAGATAAAACTTAAAAAAAATTATAGATGATGGTTATTATTGAGGAATACAGGTGTGAAAGTTACTGGATTCATCTCAACTGCCATTTTAAATTAAAATGTAAAAAAAGAATTGCGAATCTTTTTTTAGGTTTCATTCAAACGTTTATTTGAAATTACTGTCAAAATAATGGATAAGCAATCTGTTGCAATTAATAATAATATATCCGTTAATATAGAAGAAAATGAAACATACAGAAAATAGGGAAAACCACTACTTTTAAAATCTCAATAAATATAAAAGTATACATCTAAAATGTAAATCATAAGAAAACAAATACCGGGTACATGTATGAATAAAAAATATTAAGCTAGAAATTATAAAAATAAAAGTGTCTGCAATTCCAAAAAAAAAAAAAAAAAAGCTCATGTTGTATTACTATAATGGTAAAGGTGCGTTTCAAATAGAATTTTGATTTTTAAAAATTAATTCAAGAATTATAAACGTACAATACTGAAATTTTTGTAAATATAATTATTTATGTAAAAATAGTTAAAACTAAAGAATCTTAAAGAAAAATTAAAGAAACTGGTCATGCTTTCAAGCTTTAAAAAGAGTCAAAAGTCTGCTTGCAAGATAACGAATATAAAATTATTTATTTTAAGACTTGTTCAGAAAAACATGCGCAATGATAGAACAGTGTGTACGTGGTTCGAAAAGGTTTGCTTGAAACAAAATGGATTTCATGAATTGATTCATTCAGCATTGTTGGAATCTACTGCATTCCACATCAGATGTGACACACAGATAAATTACAGATATATGTATAACCTGTTTTCATTTTTTGTCTTATGAAAGAACCGCCGAAATGAACGTGCACCGGAAGTAGGTTTTCTCTTCGGGGAACAAGGAGACAGGAAATGACGTGCTAGAGACAGGATGTGCGACAAACCACTGAAACAATGGGTTACATTACCAGGTGCATGCGCAGAATACTGAAGTTGCATATCACATGGTTTGTGACGTAGTAGAAGAGGTGACGAACGAGTAGAGGAAGTTTCCAAGGAATCAGAGGTAGAAGAACCTACACAGCAGAAAAAGGCAAACATTGGCAGGGAAAGCAAAAATCTAGAAACCAAAACGTTTCTAAGCCATAATCTGATGTCAAAGTCTAATAATTATTTTCCTTTCTTTAACGAACTAAAACTGTGCACGAAAAAGTACTTGTTCATACACTGTACAGCAATTATTTAGTTATTAGTAGCCCTTTTTTTTTTAATTTTTTTTTTCAAATCTTGTTTCAAATGTAATATTTCTTTTGTATTATATAATTTAGGGATTTAGAAAATAAACTGTCTTCCATTTAATTTTTTGTTGCATTAAAAAACGTTTTGTTTTCGTCATAAAAACAATGCAAAATGGCTATCTGCAGACGCTCTCTTACAGAATATTTACTACATGGTTCCCTATATTGCTTATACATGTAAATACAAATTTCTCTTCAGTGTTCTTCTCTTTTATTAATTTTATTATTTTTTTGATAATTTGTACTGAAACAGCAGTAAATTAGCTCAAATTCTTTCCTATTCACCTAAAGAGAATCTTTGTACAATTGTTTGAGATAAAAGAACTTCTATTGAAAGTTTGATTCAAAAAATTCCATCTCCATTTGGCATGCTTTTACTGCAACTACATACTGATAATGCTACATGTACATATAAACTAACTGGCAGCAAAAGTTAAAAAAAATTAAGGTTTAGCCAGAGTGAAAAATGAATAATGATGCAGTCTATAACCTTATGTATCTCATGAATCAAGAAACACTACAATTCAACTTTTAAATTATTTCAGTATCTAGTCACTATATATACCTTGATCTAAGTATCTAGTCACTATATATACCTTGATCTATAAATTATTTCAGTATCTAGTCACTATATATACCTTGATCTAAGTTACTGAACAACTTCTCTCTTGTTTGTCGACTTTATTTCTGTCCAAAATGAAATAAAAACACAAAATGAAACAAAAAAAAAATCATGCAAACATCATTCGATAATCAAGCATACTGTGAAAACATATAAAGCAAGCAGAAATTTGATTGAGACGGATAAAGCATGAGAGCGTAATATTTCCTTAAAGATATTGTAGACACAACTCACTACATGATTAAAAATCATCAACGTTAAAGATCATAAAAAAATTAACACAAAATTTATTTTAAAATGAGAGAGTAGGCATCATGCACGCGACACCGGACGCCAAATCTTACGGTCTACGTCCGCCAGGTTACCAAGGGAACGCCTTCTCCGCCCCATGGCTTCAGGTTTGTCACCCTATTCAAGGGAAAGAAAATATAAAGGTAAGTAATGAAAAAAGTATTTTCAGCAAAGTTAAACATTTCAGACATACTAAAACATATATAAATTATGATAAAAAAATAGCTGAACTTTGTATCATTACAAACATGCAAAATATTACAGAATATGAACTCGAATTAAAAATATGCAGTAATTAAAAAATATGCAGTAGAATAACAAATAAAAGATTTTTGATTGATTCATAATATTTTGAAATTGAAGAGATTTCTTTCACATAACAAAAAAAAAAAATCAAAGTGAAATTTGAAATAAACAAAAAATATTATGCACACATACCTTTCGTGAAATTTGAAATAAACAAAAAATATTATGCGACACATACAAGCTAAGCTTTTACAAACGTTTTTAGTTATACGTCAATTTTAACATAAACTAGCATATTTACAGGAGCTCCCCAACTCCCTTTCGGGACGTCCTGTAGACGCTCTGTGACGTCAGAGTTTTCCGTACGTCGTTAGTCCTGCCTGCAGGTGGCAGCACCGTGGGTTTGGGGAGTTCCACACCCCTAGTAAGCAGCACACGTGCATGATCGTTTTCATGTTTTTTTTTATCTTTTTGTAAATCCTAATGCATACTACTATATTTTAAATTTCAAAATCTCAAAGTACCAATGAGGTTTCAGCCAATCAGTCATTTTCAGAAAAATTTTATATATCATGCCCTCCACTAGATAAACAATATAGTTTAAAATAGTTAATGACATACTACATGTAGTATCATTTAAGACAAGCTAAGCTGTTTACAAAAATCAAAACATATAAGAAGACAAAAATCAATTTTAACATAAAATATGAAATCACATTTTGATTCTGTTGTTTCTGGTGAGCATGCGCACTCACCTGAGAGGTCTATGACGACTTCCCCCAGAAAATCATTGGCCTTGAACCTGTCGTAGTCCCACACGGTGATCTCCAGTGTTTTATATTTAACCTCCTCGTGGTGTAGGTTCTGGAATACCACCGTCTGATGCCATTCCGGGTTTAATGTCCGAGAAATGTGTTTAGTTCTCCTCTTATTTTCCGAACTTATCAAATTAAACATATAACTTCTTAATATTCAGGAAAAAAACAATATTCAAATTTTTTTCAACATTTTAAAATTATATGGTTCAAAATAAGGTTTCCTAGAAAATAAATCTAAAATTTCGATACATATTTGGAAAAGATTTTCTGCTTTCTCACCATCTTCCTGGCAAGAGATAGATTTTGACAAAGGGGTCGGACTGTCCGTTAATGTCCTTGGGTTTTAAGTTCCTGGCCTGAATGACGTGGATATGAAGGGTACTCTCGTACTCGTCATGACTTAGTTGCAGCTAAAAATAATATCACAACAACACATAATATCAGTCACCTAACAGTAAAAGATTCAGTCACCTTACAGTAAAGATTCAGCCAACTTTCAGCTAAAATTCAGTCATTTTTCCGTTAATTGAATAGCAGAGATTACTCGAGTCGTTTTATGTGTGTTTTCTGCATATGCTTGTAAAATAGTCAGGTCATTCGTCAGCCAAATGTAAGCTTCTATCTCACCTGTATCTCACCCCAGTCTTTTTCTTCTTGCTGCGTGCACTGAAATAAAAAGAAGTGTATTCTTTTTTTAAATTAAAAAATTTAATTTGAGAATGATTCACCGTTCAAGGAAACGTACAGGAAAACGATTGTGTAGTTCCCTTAGTCAGGTGTTGCTCAAACGATTTAAATTCCAAAAAGTGGAAAAAAAAAACCTTAACTAGATTAATAAAAAAGGTGATTATTTTATGATATAAATATATATAAAGTAACAAAAAAAATCTTGATCTAGGAAATTGTCCTCGAAATCAAGGACACCGTCATGATGGTAGGAGCTCGGTCGATAGAGTGCTAGCTCCGTAATTCGGAAGGTCTTTGGTTCGAACCCCCTGTCGAGACTGATCAAAGCACCAATTGTTTCTTTGCTAAATGTTCCGAACTTTGAAGTGAAATTTGCGGGTCCTCAGAATAAGACCTTAACATCCGAGATCCGACATGCATTGGCACCATAAAGATCCCTCAGTGCTTATAATTGCCCTGAATCCCTAATAAAGGTCTAAATTTGAAGCTCTGTGTCGGTTTATTGTGCAGTCTTAACTTTATATACGTTAATATTTTCGTATGGGACGTAAAACAATAATCAATCATCGAATTCAAGAGATTTCATATCTTTATATAGGATTTTTTCATCATGAAAACATCATGTATTGGGTCCCTTATTTTGGCATGTTTTGCAAAGCATTTTAACAGTCTGACTATAACTATATTTCTCGAAGTCATTATTTTTCTTTCTATTATAGAGAAGAATCTACTTAGTTAAAGTGCAGCACATTTAATCTCTAGAAACAAGATTTGAAGTTTGATATCAGGAATAACAATAACATTTACAGAAATTCGATGTTTCAATTTGGTCTTTATTTTAGGCTGGTTTAAAGTACGTATCAGTTTGGTTTAATATCTATTTTATCTTCCCTCCCCAAATCTATGGAATAGTTTCAACAATAAAATGCTTTCTTTGGTTGTTAAATGTGGAACAGGATATAATGTTACATCTGTTACAGAAGCAAAAAATTTACAAAACCAGCTCACACAGGTATGCATAACTGATGGAACAGGATTGTTCAAGAAATCTATGCAGGTGGCTTGCTTAGTGTCGCTTGTGGACTGATTAACGGCAATGGTTCTTCATAAGAAATAAAGGAAATAATATTCGGTGGATGTAAATATTTATTTTAAAATTAAATGTACCTTGTCTACTTTGTCCACGGACTCCAGCCTCGGTAAAGAATTCCCCTTCTGGTTGCTGTCTTCTGGCGCCATATTCAGTCTCCTCTGCCGTTCATCTAAACTGGACCTTGGAGACCTCTCCTCTAATTTAGTTCTCTGCGATCTTTCCTCTAAGCTTGATCTCTGAATTCTGTCATTGGACATAGTCCTTTGAGGTCTGTCATCTAAACTTTTCATTTGTCTTTCTTCTACACTGGTTCTCTGGGACCTCTCATCTAAACTAGTTCTCATTTGTCTATCCTCTACGCTGGTTCTATGGGACCTCTCATCTAAACTAGTCCTCATTTGCCTGTCCTCTATGCTGGTTCTGTGATTTCTGTCGTCTGAGCTGGTTCCCCGCTGTCTGTCGGAGGACGTAGAGGCGGGGTCAGACCGGGGGGAGCTACATTGAGAGGATACGCTGGGGGTGTAGTAGTCGGGCTGGGACGAGGACTGAGACGTGTTAGGGGAGCCTGTCTCCTTAATCCCCTCTAACTGAGCTGCTAGCTGACCGGGATCCACACCATGATTAGATTTTATACACTTCTCTAAATAGAGAAAAATCTTTGTCTACAAATTCACGTTTTTCTCTCAATTACCATAAAAAACATTGGTCATTTTTCTTTCTTGATCATGATGACTTTCATTGCATATTTGTTCTTACATTGAAATGCATTTTACGTCTATGTGAAGAAAGAATTAAAATCATCGATCAGGGTCTTAGTCTGTCATAATATTGAAGACGATTGCAGGATAAATGTATATATACCGTAGACATCGTCCGAGACGAACTCCAGGTTATCGTAGGAGGAAACACACCCCTCCTCTTCCTTGGATCCGCCGGTTCTGTAGGGAGCTCTGAGGTGAGAAAGTTTAAAAATTGTATCCAAAGATATTCTGCATAATAACAGACTTATCGCACCTTCCCAGCTAATCTTATGTGACAATTGATTCAAGTCAAAATTGGCACACACCCCCCCCCCCCCCAAAAAAAAAATAAAAAATAAAATCACACAAAACATATTTATGCCTAAATAAAACTAGATGCTGTCATGAGACAGTAACACCCGCACTATGGTGTTTGCCTTTAAATACACACTCCTTCATATTGGACTTTCCAAGGAAGAAGTCAAAATAATTCTATAATTATCACCGTACATGTATTCGTCAAATTGAACATAAAATTTTCAGGTGACCATATGATCTATGAGCCTCACATATGTATTTTGAATACTTAATTCATTACCAGTCTGAAATAACAGAATTTAATTAATGATTGAAGTAAATTACTTAATTAGATTCAGATAAATATTTTGCCCATAATTTGGAACTTTTTAAATTTACTTTCTCAACGACATATTATTTTAGTACAAAGCGTTTTTGATGAATTTATCAAAATGTGCAAACTGATTTTAGTACTTGGTCGGGAAAAAAACCCATTGAAAATACAACTCGATTAATTTGTCAATGCCTATCTCTCTCTCCCCCCCCCCCCTCCACACACACACACACACTCTCTCTCTCACTCTCACATTTTTTTTAAAAATAGACCTAGATGGCAAAGTTATGTTAAAACATAGTTTATTATGATAGTTTGAAATTTGTTCTTGTACTAAACAGTTTTACGTGTGAACATCTTATTTTCTACATTCACATTGGGTTTGCGTCACCCATTATCATATTTATAGATATCACCTCTCGGCACACCTCGGCCGATTCATACTGGCAACGGAATCAGCAAAGGTTTGTCGAATGAGATTATTTAGCACATGTATATGCTGACGATGCAGTGTGGTCAGTTAAAATCATTTGTGTTTTAATTGGATTATATGGATTATATTTCATGAATTCGTTTTCACGACCTACATGTATGACATTCGGTAAGTACAAGATTTAGTATAGATTGCATAAAAATAAATAAATGCAAATGGTTAGGTTGAAGTTCAAAAAGGGTCAAAAATCATCGCATGCCACAGTCGACAAATTTCACATTGTCAAGTTATCTCCCACTGCGGACATTCAGTATATACAGGCGCAGATCCAGAATTTTTTTTTTTTCAGAAAGGGGGGGGGGGGTGTCACACCTCAGTCAAAAAAATCAGCCCAAGATTTCCTGAGAAGCAAATAAAAAATAATAATAAAAACAATGATGGTGGAGTCCCTGTTTTCTAAGGGGGAGGATGTCCAAAGTCATTTTATTCTCTACAGTACATAGTCTTATTTAAATAACTGCTAATTCCAGGGGGGGGGGTGTCTGATCTCCCTAACCACTGACTCCCTGTACCTGAAATGACAATTGATCTTATGACTCCATAATAGTAGAAATTTTTTTCATTTGACTATATTATATACATATTTTGTTTCCTATGTTGATGTATGTTTGTCTGTCCACAGAAACTTTAACCTTGCCCATATTTTAGTTTTAAGTGGATTGGGCTATACACATGGCTTCCACATGTCATAGGTAAATTTCTTTTGGCAAAACATTTTAATGGGTACCACCAATTTTGACCTTTTGATCTCTTGACCTTGGAGTTTGACCCACTTTTACAAGAAAAATACCTTAAACTTGGCCTAAGTTTTGAACAGGTGGTGCTAGGACTTTCATGCTCTAACATGTGTAATCATTGTGAACTTTCAACAGGTATAATTATTTTTTACCTAGACCTTAGCATTGAACCCAATTTAACTTTAACCTTGGCAATAACTTTTGAACAGGTGAGGAAGTTCTAGGGATTTCTCTCTTTTTTCACATGTGTATTCCTTGTGACAAGACTTTCCCTTTGATACCAACAATTTTGACCCTTTGACCTTGACCTTGGAGTTTGACTTACATTTGAGAAACTTCAACCTTTGCCAAAAGCTGCCATAACAGTTGCTGTCACAACAAACAAACAAATTACTAAAAAAACACAGTATACATATACATATTTTATATTCAACAGATATACATCTGGTCATATCTCTAGTTCTCCCTTGAATGAGACATGGTGATATAAATTTTAAAAAATAATTATGATAAGAGTTGAAAAGGTTGTGCATATTAAAATATACTAAGCTCTGCGGATGAATTAGATATACCAGTTTAGCTTAATTTTGCTACCCAAAGCACCTTGATTAACTATTTATAAGCATACTGTTTTCTGAAATGTACTGATTTCTGTTGTCCATCTGTTTGTCTGCGAACTTTTCACATTAACTTCTTAAGAACCACTGGGCCAATTTCAACCAATTTACATTTAAATATGCAGGGGACTTTTTCCAACATAAATCTTCTTCTCAAGAACAGCAAAGACATTTCTTGTCCCCCATTTTCGCTAAGGTAGGGTACAATAAATCTCATTTGTTTGTCAATCTGCCCATCTGTCACAATAAATTTAACCTTGCAATTGGTCATCATGGTCGTATATTTTGAATGAGAAGAGACAGGACTTTTATATTAAACATGTGTATTAGTATTAAATGGGACAATACCATTCTAAATACACTATGATTTTTATTACCCATGACCTTGAAGTTTGACCTAATTTCATAAACAAATTAATTGCTTTGAATTAATCATTTTGAAAGATAAATGAAAGGGCATTCATATTACCTGTGATAAGACCTTTCCAAATGTATCATGACTTTTTGACTCTGTGACCTTGACCTTGAAGTTTAACTTAGTTTTCATTAATGTTGTATTTCCTTTTCATTGAGAAGAGATTCGACTTTCACATTTCAAGTGAACATTACCCATAACAAGATGTTTCCCAACATGCTATGATTTTTTACCCCTTGACCTTGATGTTTTAACAAAATTTCAAAAGAGTGAACTCTCTCAAAAGAGGATAAGACCACTGTTTAAAACGAAAAAGGAGTTTAGGGAAGACTGGGCTTTTTCCATAAAAAACGTCATTTTTCGACCCTCATTTGACCCCCCGGGCAAAATCAAAATTCCGAAACCTAACTGCATATCTACATGACCCCACCAACCATCTCTCAAAAGATGATTAGGCTGCTGAATAAAATGTAAGAGGAGTTCAGGGAAGATGGGGCTTTTAGCATAAAAAACGTCATTTTTCGACCCCCATTTGACCCCCGGGGCAAAATCAAAATTCAGAAACCTTACTACACATCTGCATGACCCCACCAACCATCTCCCAAAAGATGATTAGGCTGCTGAGTAAAATGTAAGAGGAGTTCAGGGAAGAAGGGTCTTTTTGCATTAAAAAAGTCATTTTTCAACACCCATTTGACCCCCCCAGGGCAAAATCAAAATTCCGAAACTTTACTGCACATCTACATGACACCACCAACCATCTCCCAAAAGATGATTTAAGGCTCCTGAGTAAAATGTAAGAGGAGTTCAGGGAAGACAGGGCTTTTTGCATAAAAAACATCATTTTTCGACCCCCATTTGACCCCCCGGGGCAAAATCAAAATTCCAGAACCTTACTGCACATCTACATGACCCCACCAACCATCTTCCAAAAGATGATTAGGCTGCTGAATAAAATGTAAGAGGAGTTCAGGGAAGACGGAGCTTTTTGCTTAAAAAATGTCATTTTTCGACCCCCATTTGAGCCCCTGGGGCAAAATCAAAATTCCGAAAGCTTACTGCACATCTACATGACCCCAACAACCATCTCCCAAAAGCTGGTTAGGCTGCTGAGTAAAATGTAGAAGGAGTTCAGAGAAGAATGGTCTTTTTGCATTAAAAAAGTCATTTTTCGACACCCATTTGACCCCCCGGGGCAAAATCAAAATTCCTCCTTCTCTCTCTCTGACACCATCTCTCTCTCCCAAAAGATGATTAGGCTCCTGAGTAAAATGTAAGAGGAGTTCAGGGAAGACGGGGCTTTTTGCATAAAAAACATCATTTTTCGACCCCCATTTGACCCCCTCCAGGGCAAAATCAAAATTCCAGAACCTTACTGCACATCTACATGACCCCACCAACCATCTTTCAAAAGATGATTAGGCTGCTGAGTAAAATGTAAGAGGAGTTCAGGGAAGACGGAGCTTTTTGCTTAAAAAACGTCATTTTTCGACCCCCATTTGACCCCCTGGGGCAAAATCAAAATTCTGAAAGCTTACTGCACATCTACATGACCCCACCAACCATCTCCCAAAAGCTGGTTAGGCTGCTGAGTAAAATGTAGAAGGAGTTCAGGGAAGACGGGGCTTTTTGCATAAAAAACGTCATTTTTTTTGACCCCCCGGGGCAAAATCAAAATTCCAAAACCTTACTGCACATCTACATTACCCCACCAACCATCTCCCAAAAGATGATTAAGCTACTGTGTAAAATGTAGGAGGAGTTCAGGGAAGAAAAGTGTGACAGACGGACGGACGGACATGAGTAACAACTTTCTTTAGAAAGTGCGGGTATAATTATCAATTTTAAAGGAAAATATTCCTTTCGTTTCATTACTACTAGAAGCACACTTGCCGTTTCCAATTTAATTGTTAAACCATTTTACTAATCAATTTACCATAAAATTATTCTATATTCTGTTATTCATATTGGTCTTAATGAATCGCTTTTGTCAAATAAATACGAGAGCCAGTTTTGGTCGATGGCATTTAGACTGCCTATACTGCAGTAATATGTAAAGTGAAATTTTACTATTAATATTACACCAAAACAAAGAAGATTAACTGCATTTAGAACATGCCATCAGATAAATACTGTTCTATAAGATACTGTAGTCTGAAATATCGGTCGTTTTCCAGGCGTTTTTTTTTTACGATTTTGAGATTTTATACGTACCAGGACCGTAGAATATGAAAAAAAAAAGCATGAAACATCAGATATTCCGGACTACATACAGATACTTTTGTAATCATTCCTAGGGGACATCTCCCCTCGCTTTATGAGACACCACGTCCACAATCTGTACTTACGGGCGCACTACCAGCTCGATTTCCCCGTTCGGCTGACAGATGATTTTTTGGACTTCCTCGTAAGTCTTGTCCGAGAGATCGATGCCATTCCACTCCAGGATCTGGTCACCTATTAAAGGATTCCGTCATAATTACCTCCCAATGTAACGAATTCCGAGTGTAATTACTTCCCTTTCATAATTACTTCCGAGTGTAATTACTCCTCTTTCATTATTACTTCCGGGTGTACATGTAATTACTTCCTTGTCATAATTACTTCCGGGTGTAATAACTTCTAAGTCATTATTACTTCCACGTGTAATTGCACGCATCAAATAAATATACAGATTTGAAATACATTATACTTGTACACTGTACCGTAAAGAAGTACTCTCCAAACACTTTCATGTTTAAAAAAAAATTATAAAGAGACCGACACATGATTTGAATCCTGGATAAATAAAAAAGAATCAACAATTTTCAATGAAGATTTGTGTATCTGTTATGAGGAAGATTGATATTTTAGAGATTTAAAGAAAACTAATGATTACCCTCTTGTAGTTCCCCGAGTAACTGTTCAGCCACGCCTCCTTGGTAAATAGCGGCTACATAGGCACCTACTGTTTTTGTCCCCGGAATGGTTCGACCACCCACGATTTTCATTCCCAGCCCGTTCCCTGCTAAAAAGATTTTTATGTACAATAAGTTAAACATCATTTACTAGATACTGAAAAAAATTCTGGTGAAAAAAAAAATGATTTTAGTCATCTATTCAACAATTTATCATAAGATGGCTTTCTTTCATATCTATCCTGTTGCCCGCCACCTGTTCCCATATAAACCACAAATATTTCACAAACCCTTGACCCAAACTGGAACAAATGAAAAGAATTCGAAGTAGATATTTCTGAAAAACATACTAAAAACTCTGAATTGAGACTCTACTTGTTTCAAATGTATATATCCACCTCAAGCATATTTTGTTATGCAGTAAAAAAGACCAAGCAACCAGAGCACGCTACCAGAATAAAAAGCCACTCTACACAAAATATCATCTAAAGAATATACGGACACTTGTTCACGTGTATCAAATAAGTTTTATACATTGTCTTACAGGAAGAATTCGTTCACTGAAAAAAAAATATACACACTTAGTAGATGAAATATTGCAACTTTATTTTCATGCGTGTTTTGATTAATTGGTGCTCCTAGGTTTGTAATTATGATTTGAAAAAAAAAACTAATTTCAGACAATATCAAAATAACTCAATTAGTACATCGCTCTTTTGTTCGTAAAAATTTTTGGAGCTGCTCTTATTATGAAAATCGATAATTTTAAAATGATTTAATATACCTATGTGTTTCTTTTATAAAATCTTTCAATACAATTTTATTTCCTGTTATTTATGGAAGTTAATAATGAGAGCATTGCTACTAAATGTTATTTATAAATTTTGACTTCTTAAACACTTTAGAAACTACTATGTAAGCAATCATTGTTAATCACTTTTATTTTCATAATGCCAATATTATAAGATGGTTATGGCCATTTCTTCACCTTGAAAAGAAATCATGGGGTAACATCAAGAGTTAGCTACCTTTGATGGATCGATCCTTGGGGTCCCGTGTCAGTAAAATCCTCTTTATGGGGAAATCGTACACCTTCGGCTGGGGTCGGGGAGGCTAGCAACAAAACAAAGAGATTTAGGGGGCCTATCACATTAGATCATTGAATATTTTTAAAAATAAGAGAAAAAGGAATCAAAATTTAAAAAAAAAACTGTCCATAAAAAGAATCACCTCATTGACTGATTGTATATTTCAAATTATAATTTAAATAGGAAGTAAATTATTTCCATAATTTTTTTTATGACGGGCACCTGTTTCTTCCGTTCTAGCTGTTTAAGGATGGTGACCCCGCCCTCCATCATGTGCTTCATGATCGGTTCGTCCGCGTCCACGCTGTTATCGCTCTCCACACGATGCATGCCGTTCATCAGGTCTGGACGACAATTAAAGCAGTAAATGATAATTAATTTGTTTACAATATTTCTTTTGTCAGCATTCGTAAGGTCAAATGCCACTTTTAATATTTGAAAAAAATCATGTTGATATATCTATGTATAGACGATTACAAGATGATATGATTTTGTCAATTTTATTACAGACTTTTAAAAAGCAGTTTAAAAAAAATAAACGAAATTGCGTGAAGGGAAATATAGATCATCAATCATAATCTTTTAAAAGTTTATTGTTACTGCAATGCATATACAATATCTTTTTTTTTTCTTGTAGAGTGTAGAATATCATCGCGATATCTTTGTAGAAACCAATTTACTAAAACAATACTATTTATAAATATCAAATGTATTGTTTTTCAAGCTACTATAATTTCTGTATAATGTCAAAATACACATGTTCCTAAAAGAGATTAATTTTTTATCGATGGCAAAACACTTGATGACAATGTGTTTTTGTCATGTGAAACCGATTAGTTCCCAGCCAATAAGCATTGTAATGTGAACGTACGCACATCAATGACGTCATTCAAGGAAATTATACAAGTATAAGGACTGGGCGTAACGTTCTAGTTATCACACATCTATCACAAATGAAAGTCAAGACATCGTTAAATGTTTTTATAAAATCAATTCTAAATTATCGTGCCTCCTTTAAAGCTAAAAAAATAAACTTTTAAGGTACTGTTAAAGTTTCTCTCAAAGTACATTAGACATTAAAGGTGCACTTGAAATTCTGTTTATGATATTGGCGATTTTAAGGAGTCAGAATTGATTAAAAAAGAGTTACTTTGTAGCTTCCATGCATATTTGGTAATAGATTGTACTTCGACCTCTTTTACTTTTAAATTATAAATTTTAAATCCTTAAAACTGTAACGCTAATTTGACATCAGAAATTCAGACGGAAAGAAAGTCACAAGTTTCACGTTCATGTTATCGATTTTACAACCCAAAATAAATTTATTACTTACTAGATATTAAAATGTCCTTAAACTTATATCCATTTCCCTTTTATTTTAAAAAAAATGTACCTCCTTTCACTCAAATAAATTTGATAAATAAAAGTGTCACCAATATATACCATACTGCTTGCCCGGACATGAAGAAAAGCGCATTATGGGTGACGATTTCTCCATCAAGACACCTGATCTAAAATCGATTGAGTTTAAAGGTCGATGTTTGCTCTGCTCCGAATTTTATTGTCTCAATGGACTTTTGATCTGGAATATACTGTTCATTATCTTCATATTCCATGGGACAATATATAAAGGGTATAATACTTGTTTTCTGGACTTACACCTAAGTTGCTCCTTGTATATCTTATGAACACTGTCTTATACGTGCTATTTTACGTCCAGACTAAGACGTTCGCAAACTAACTTTAGAACTTAATAAATAATGCACTTTCTATTTAATCTTAATCCACTTGTAGACCAAATATATAATTTCTTACCACGAGCTCAGCATGAAATAACGCTCTTAAATGTATTCGTTATTTTACGTGTAGCCGTACCTTCTACACCCCCAGAAAAGTTGAACTCAGCAGATACCGGCCTGCTTCCGGTTCCGATGCCGTGAATGATCTGCCTGGACTTCTCTTTCACATCGGCGAGTAGAGGCATGGCGGGGGTGGAGTCGCTGGGAGGACTGGTCTCCGTGTCTGACACAGCTCCATAGTCCTTGGAAGCATGATACTCCACGTCTGTTCGTTTAGAGTGAAGGTCAGGTAAGGTCACACTGCTAGTTATAACAGCGTCCCTAGCCGCGGGGTCTAGGTAAAAGTCTACCTTCTGTTTGGAAGTTTTAGAAACACGAGAGTCATTGAGACTTCCGGTATATAAATAGGGACTTGAATATGACGTCACGTCCTCTAGCCTTCGTCTCACAGATTCCTGTTTGTGAGCCAGGTATTCAGAGGAGCTATAATTAGCCTCGTTGGAGTCCACTACACTCGCTTTACTAATTTCTTGATGACTTCTGGTGACAAATTCATTATCGTCTGAAACATCATCAAAATCCTCGTCATCTTCTAAAGGTTTGATAATTCCAGTCGGGATCGGGCGAGTCGATGGGAATGTTCGACTTGATTTTCTTGGGATGTCGTCATAACTATGGGCCATCACCTGTCCTGGTCGTGTCAAATTGAACAATTCAGTTTTCAATTTTGTGGTTTCTTCGAGTTTCTTTTTACGTTTGTCAATTTCTTGCTGAAGTTTTTGTTTCCTGTCTTCCCTGGCTTTTGTTTCGTCATCATCGGAAACATACACTGCTCCTTTTGATTTAACTTTTTCTGGTAGACTAGTGTCTGAATGACATTTAGGAGGCAATGAAGGAAAAGAAGAGGAAGATTCAATATTTGGCTTTCGCTTTGGGGTGTTTTGATTAAAGAACATATCCGTGTACGCAGACGGTTTAGTTTTCTTGACTCTAGCATTAAAGGCCGGCTCAGAACGAATACTTTCATTATCTGACAGACCTGATTGAGAGCTGTCATCTGTAATGTACTTCTGAGTAGTTTCCTTGTGTGCTTTTAATTGAAAATCGGCCTCAATGTCTTTGTCTTCCTTAATTGGAGAGAACTTAGAGATCATTGGATCGCTAGACTGTCTCTTGTGGCGGGACCTACGGGGCATTACCTGAGGAGAGGATCTAGGGGCAGCCATAGGAACGGATCCACGTTTTTTATTGCTGGGACCTGCGGGTTTTACAGCGGCTTGTTTTTGAGCATTTCGTTTGGCTTGCACTTTTGCATAATCCTGACTGAGTTTTAATTCACAAATTTGAGCTTGTAAAGCTCGAATTTCCTCAATTTCTTCAATTCGACGCCTTCTTCCTTCCGTCACACGTCTTAACTCATCTTGTAGGCGTTTCTTCAATGATTTCATTGCCTGTGTTATTGGCACACCATATATAGTAATCAAAGAATCAATTATTTGATCTGTTTCGTCTTTTTCTTTATTATACTGATCCATAGCTCCTACTTTAGATTGCACAGCACCATCAGGAGGTATATTAGCCTTCACATCTTCATTATACATTTGTTTCACGTTTTTCCTAACTTTAGAATCATCCATGTCAGGCGGTAGGTAATTCCCATTCCATCGGTCCAGTGACGGTTTGTCTAAATCATTCATGCGACGCTGTTTCGTGAGCATGGCGACCTCGAAATCTTCCTCATTCATCGATTCATCACTAGTAGACGAGGGCGTGATATACCCGGACCTGTGCCGAGGAGGGTTCCGGCGGGCTGCGCTGTACGATTTCGGTTTGGGTGGTATTGGCGGCGGAGTTGCGCCCGCCTCTTCCGGCGGAAGTGGTGGTAATTTCCGTCTCACTTTTTTGCCATCTACAGCAGACTGAAAAAAAGGAAAACAAGGTTAGAAAGTTAAGAAAAGTCTATTTATAATCATCCGAAAGAAATGCCCATCATAAAACGCAATCAACGAGATAAATGGATATGCATTCCTTTAGGTGTCAATGTAAATTTGGTTAAATATAAGTGAACATACAAAAACAAACACCATCAGATAACTCGAGAGAATTAGAATAAACGTTGATGTATGAATAATTGATGGAATGTAGACTGTAGTTCACACTACGTTAGATAACCCTAGGTCAGTCATTCAAATACATGTCACGCACACAAAGAAGCTGGAATAAGAGTCCTTCTGCAAATTTTCTATCGCGAAGAAAAATCCGTTTTTTTGGTAGGGAAATCAATAAACCAAAAATTGATTTTACAATTCCCACGTATTTCTTCCCTATGCCTCTTACTATGAGTCAGATATATAGCCATGGCGAATGGACGACTGCTGACTGGAATCAAGAGCTCGAGTAAAAATAGATAAAGTGGCTTTGTCACATATTTATTGTCAATAACAAGAAGGGTCAGTAAAATATCGAAATATTTACAAACCTACCCCCTCGAATTAAAAACCATGAGAGCATTTTGCAAGTGAGTGTGATCTAGGCATTTATAGAAGAAATGACCATTATTTTGCTTTAATATACGAACGTCGTATTGGTAATCAATTCTGGTTAACATTCCATACACAAATAAACAGGGGACCTATAAAATATCTCGTAATTACATTACCATTTCAGCTTTTCTATCCATATTCATGTTACTAAGAATAAAATCCCATGTTCCTCACACTAAGAATATACGTTCACATCTTAAATCATACAAACACTATCTACTTCCGATTGAAAACAAACTCAGCATGTAGGTATGAAGTTTAAATCATTAATTAGCTATGATCCCCCGCGCCTTCCCTGGCGTGGATCGAATTTCAAAGACGGATCAATTCGATTTTATGTTGATATAAACGGGTGTTGTAAGGACGGAAAACACACGAGAGAAAACGCGCGCGAACAGCACGTGGCCGTCTGCTTACAAACTCACTAGCAGTTGTTTTGATGGCAGGTGACGTGTTAGCATAGTTGCAAATTTACGTGATGGAATTAAAAAAAAATTAATATCTTGTAAATGCTGACGACATTATATTAAAGACTCCAAACAAATTTAGCACATTATTAATGCTGAAATGTAGTACACTTGTACTAAGTGGGATTTTTCAATTGTTGTATACCGAAAATTAATTGTAAAAATTTGACAGAGGACGAAAGTTCGTCAGCGTTTTTATTTATAAAGCAGAAAATTAAACCACCAAGTCTGTCTTCTATTTTGATTAAAAATAATTAACAAATCTAAAAAATAATTAATAAATCTCAAAAAGAATTAATAAATCTAAAAATAATCAATAAATCTTATTAGAACCAAAAAAGATGGTCCCGTAAAAAAATAGAGAAGTCATAACGATAAATTTTAATGAATTGATCGAGCGTTTTGCATGGATTTTTACATTTATAAGATTTGTGAAATAAAGCTTCAAATTAAGCGAAAGTCAATGAGCTGTTTAAATTTATAAATTTTTCTTCAGTGTACATAGTAAATAACATATCTGTGCTTACTCTAGTTGGAATTCAAGTATGTGCATGGCTGTGAACATAATATGTAGATAAAAAAAAATCAAGAATTGATTTTGATTTAAATTTCAATACTGGATAAAAATAATGCAGTACTCTTTCAATAAACTACAATTACAGTTACATGCTTTCTTCAGAAATACAATCCCAAACAACCATATATGTACGGAAATCAGTAAACATTCCAGCAGTATATCTTCAGTTAAGAACAGATGAAATAAACATTTTTTTTCAAAAATCTTGAAAATAAAAACTTTAGTCATGTTCAATAGGAATAACTTTTACCGCATAAATTTTTCGTTTTTTATTCAAAGTTTCAAAAAATTTGAACTTTAGTCATGTTCAATAGGAATAACTTTTACCACATAACTTCTTTTTTTATTCAAAGTTTCACAATCAAGGGATTTCAATTGACAAAAAGTTGCAAAGATTAAAAAGAATGGATGCAAAAAATGTCGTATTTTGAGCGTCATGGAAAGTTCACAATTTCTTAATATTTTAGAAATGTATATTTATCATTTGCCCATTTACAACCAATATAGGTTCAAAAATATATAAACAATCCAGGCATCCTATTTTATTTGTATCATTTGTCCTTAATATTCTCTCTCTAAAAATCCCCCACATATGACGGTTAAATCTGATGGAAAAGTTTCTCGTCAATTATCTCGATCCTGTTAGGACAGATCTGAGGTTAGAGACGCCGCCTGGTGGCCACTGATTACATTAGTGGAACCTAATGAATTGTCTTTGAATTTGTTCGCCGATACTCTACTCACCATGAATAAGAATGTGTTAAAAATCAATCAGCCGGTATTAAATACACCATTAAACCATTTATTTTATTAACTGCCGTGGGTCTTTAAAGCTACCACTCCTTTGGGGGAGAAATAAAACAGTAGCTTCGCTTTGGTTATAAAATATTCTTCTTCTTACTTGCTTTTAGCTTATTATTTTAAACACATGCCGTGAAAACTAAGAGGCCCCTATAATTTTCCTCCTTCATGAAAAAGTCATTTAAAGTTAAAATAAATTGAATTTTTTTATTGGATATACAACGTGTATTTATATTTATCATTCACCTAAAATAAATCAAACAAAATCCAAATTCACGTACCTAACTGAATAAGCATTAAGATATCACGGAGACTATTAACTGCTGTTTTACTTATATGTAAAAAGAGTTACCAGACCTGATCAGCTCTCCTGCTTCTTCCTCTTCCGGTCGTGACTTTTCCCACAGTCTCAGTTTTCCCAGCAGGCACCGGGAAGATACACTCGTAAATCGGTTCAGCGGAGGGCGCCCTGTCTTTCGGTTCTCCGTCGTCTTCGAAGTTGTCCGTCCCGGGGGAGGAGGGGGAGTGGGGTTTGGGCGGGGAGGAATCTGAGTCGGGGGGCGTGACCGGGGACGGGAAGGGGTAAAGTTCACGGTCGGGAGATGAAGATGGCGACACAGAAGTGCTGTCCGAGTAGTCTCGTTTTAACGATGACCTAGATTCCGGACTCGGTGGAGAATCCAAAACTTTATATTGAGGAGACAGTGACTTTTCCTCTGCTTCAATATGCTGTATCAGTAACGGATCCGGCTTGGCTTTCAGATCTTTTGCTCTTCGTCTCCGTTCCTCCGAATCTTGTTTCTGAATTTGATCCTTCAAATTTTTGGCAGGCGGGGGTTCCGACAACGACTTTGACGCAGCAGACGTAAATTTTCTTTCTGGTATAATCACTGTGGCATAGTTTTTATTTTTCTGCTCGCTTTCTGGATCTTTTTGTAAGGTAGTGGGCGGTAGTGGCGGCAGGGGCTTCTTCTTTCTGGAATGTTGAGCTATCATGTCGGCGGTGGGCTCTGGCAGTTTTCGTCTTACTTTGCTCTCCTTTGATTTACCGTCACCTTTTCCATCAGACTTATCTGAACTAGGAGAGGCTGCATCTACAGAGTCCATTTTTCCTTTCGAGGAATTTAAAACATTAGACATGTTAAGTTTTATCTTATTTTCTGAAGACGTCTGTGGGGGTATATCTGTAGTGGTCGTGTTCGAGGAAACAGATGTTGTACACACAAACGGCTGTTCTGTTGTGGTGACAGCCATTTGCGAAGAACCAGCAGTATTAGTAATAGAAACATTCCCTTGTGTGTCCGGGCTTTTCTTAATGTCTTCAAACTCACTAGCAGGAACATCCAACAACTTACAAATATCTTCCACACGATCGTATCGTTTTAGTCCGTAGAAAGACTTTAAATCGTCCTCCTCTTTCACCGGTTGGAAAAAGTGCTTCGATTCCTCACCGGAAGTGTCCTCCTCTTGTGATTCCCTCCTCCTCCTCTCCTGCTCCTGAATCACTAACATGTCTTCCTGCTCCGCCTCCTCAATAGAGGGCGACACGTCCAGGATAGGTGAGAGGTCAATCACCGGGGACCAGTCGGTTGACGGGGGGCGGGCTTTCTGGCGTTTACTTCCCTGATAGTCAATAGATTTAGAGGAGGGATCGGCGAGCTCTATCTCCTCCTCCTCCTCGTCCTCCTCAGGAATAGTCCCGTGTTCGTAATACCCGGGTGATATTGGGGACGCACTTCCATTACTCCCTTGAGAGTCGGGAGATATCATATTCTCCCTATTCGAGTGAACATTAAGATTTGTCGGAGACACTGACATTTGAGTTAGGTTTGCCGTGTTGCTAGCGATAGTGGCGGCATACGTAGCTAAATCCATACAGGCAGTTGATTCAGGTATACGTGCAATTATTCTAGGCTCACATTCGTAATCAACAATATCCACGTGTTCCCTTTGTCCTTCTTTATCATAACCAGATGCATAACCGTGAACATTTTTGTCGTCAAGAGGATGAACTCCGGGAATATATGCTGGCTGATCATCCGGGTATTCCGCCGCGTAAAGAACGTCCGTCTCTGACTGCGGTTGTTTTGCTGTCGGTGACGTGGGAAGCTCAGCGAACGTGAAGTGATGCCGTTCTTTTGGGGAACGGGTCGGGGACCCTCGTTTTTTCCCTGGGTAAGAGTCACGACGTCTCGGAGAAAAGGGTGGACTCTCCAACCCCTCCCTCCAGCTAGGGCTCCGTGGGGCATACGGGCTTCTCTTCTTCATATCGTCATGCAAATCACCTCCTGGTTTCAACTGAAGTTCTTTCCACGGATCATGCGATTGGAAGTCTTCCATTTCTTCTGCAAAGGCAGAAGCTGCGCGCGCAACTAGTTCACCATCCATTCCTTCAAGATGAGCCAAGCGGCACTCTGTGTCTGTACTAACATTGCTGTCTGAAGTCTCGTCGTCTGATGACGTGGCACTCTGAGATCTCGGGATACTGAGAGATTTGGGGCGATGTTTTGGCTTCCGCTTCAGACTCTCTTCCCCGCTGCTGCCGATACTCATCATGGAGTAATCGTCACTTCCGTCGTCAGGACTGATAGCGTCTCCCTGCTGATATTGCATAGATACATCCACCATATCAACGTCTGACGTCACATCCGATGACTCGGAATCACTACGTGAATGTGCACTCCGACCCATCGGTCCCATAGCTGAAAATAATGATATTCAAATTAAAAATGATAACAAATGAAAAGAAGAATGAAAATTGTCTGGCCTGTTATTTAACAATGTCTGTAAACTTTCAATCGTCTAAGATTTATAACATGAATCATATCTACACCTGCATATTGTAAATGTAGACACAAACTAGTGTCAAGTACGAGAATAAAAGGCAAGGAGATTACGCGCGGGGTTATTTCTACAATTCCATAATCATGTTAAAGTCAAAAAAGAATGTAATGCATATTTACAGAATTTTGAATCTTTTTCGGTTATTGAAATGCCTGACAAAATAAAGTAAAACCCATTTTAGCTTTTCACAGATATCAGTTTCTATACTTGTAAATTAAATGATATAATTCTTTTTGGTGCTTCGGGTGATTATGTACACAAATTAATGTGCCTTTTGCATTTACAACTTAGACAAAAAAAAATGTTACTCTAATTAAAAAAAAAATTCAAATAAATTGTGGAAAATATTATCAAATCAGGTTCAGTTGGTATCTTTCTTGAACAAAAATTGAATAGGGTTTGTTACTTTGCCAAATTATGAGTTCAAGTGTATAGGTACAGGAAAACAGAGAAAAGAACAATATAAATATGTAATGTATTATTTTGCTAAAAAATTGTTTTAGATAAAATATATACTTGTATATTTGTAGATAATTAAAAAAAAAACAGTTACCAATCTAATAAATCGCGTAAGCAAATCATGACCGGGAAAATACAGGAAACCTGAACACATAATTGATGCACATGTAAACAAATTGTAGCAGAATATACAAGTGTTATATTAATAGTAGAGTAAAAACATGACTGTTGTCAGTTTTCCTCAATTATTCTACATTGTTTAAAAAAGGTTTGATGCAAAACAGGAAAATCTCCGTATATGGATGTCGAAAAAATCAGCCATATTGATCTATGAGGACTTGTGTTTTCCGAAATCGCCTGATTATGGTGTAAAATAACAAAGGTCTATCATATTATTCTACAGTACATTTAGACACTTTCTATGAATTTATCGAATGCTACACAGAATTAAGGATTTATGTTATCTGCCGTTAAAAGCAAGAGAAAGCAGAATTAGCCATATACATGCAAACAGCGTACATTATAAAACACTTAATCGAGTATGGATAACAAAAAAAAAAGACATTTGTATACGGCGAAAATTTGCTGACGAAGAAGAAAGCAAGATTGGTTTTAATGAAAAAAATTAGCAGCAAAGCAAAATGCCTTACACCATATCAATAAAAGTGTTTATTTGCCCTTTTCCTACCCACTGGCTAAAACGGGACGACTCAAAGCATTGTTAAACTTCTGGAAACAAAAATTATATTTTGAAAATTTAGCGTTAAAAAATTTCAAAGAATTTTTCCATATAGCTATATCAACCCAATTACTTTCATCCTAGCTAGATAAGGAGAAGGCAAGCAATTATAATTAAAGTGTTGGTCTAATTCAATAAAACATTTTCGCATGCGTTGTTATTTACCACAGCTTCCAACCATATTCCACAGCGCGGCTGCAAGAAGGAAACAGATTATTTATTGCAAGTTTGAGCTTACAGCAATACTGTAAACAGATCTAATTCCCAGCATCAACAAATGACCTACAGTATATTACTGTAATTTACGGAAGCGTATTAGTGCCACGCAGTATTTTTTTTAAGTTGGTTATTCCAACTTTAAAGTTGGACATTCAAACTTTAATCTTGGAAATTCCACCTTTATTCTTGGCTCTTCCAACTTTATATGGCTTTATGCATTATATTGTCTGAGGTACTTAGTAGCATAACTCATTTTATACATGTATGTAATTAAAATGGAAAGATGCAACTTTATTTTGAAATGATGATTTTAGAAGGAATCATTTTATTGTGCATAGCATAAGAGCTGAAGGGAGGGGGTGCATGAGGGCGTGTCAACCCCCCCCCCCTCTAATAATACAATAATTTGCCAAAATATAGTATTGATAGTTGATTGTTAATAGTGCCCAAACTGAAAATATAATGTTCCATATACAGAATTGATACTTGTAATTAGTACTGATGTATTTGTGGCATGTAATGTAGCGTTTGATGAATCCTGATTATAAAATACCAAATAACGGTCTCATTTTTAAAGCTTGATAAATGCATGTCCGATCTCTTGAATATGTTAGGTTGAAATCCTGTCATGTACGGAGTTGACTGAAAGTCTCTTTATACGAAGGTTATGTATTTTTTTCCTGCAACAGCCGCGACATTAATTCCCCAACTACCAACCAAAGAAAGCATTTTATAATTTAACATAACTTAAGAAATTGATATTAACATAAAATAGGATCCTACAGTAGTAATCATTACATACATTTATTTTTAATTAATAAAAACTTGACACTGAACTCGTAATTATATTAGAGGACCAAAAGAAATATAACAATTTCTGATTAAAAGTTGGAAATTATATGTAAGGTCATAGGAAAGGTCAGGGTAAAAATAAACTGACACAGATAAAAAGTTCTCATCGACTGATTTCAATGTACTTGTATATATTAAGCATTATTGAAGTTTTATACCATAACTCCCTATGACCCCGTCCGCCCTTCTTAAAGCACCTCTTATCTCCATCCCCAATCTAGGTTGCGAAAATTCATTGCAAGCAAGTCTATTGTAGTGTATTACATTTACATTAATAAAATTGGTAATGGTTTAAAATAAAGGGAAAAATCAAACTAAGAAAAGGGGATAGAAGATCTCAAAATAAAGTTGAAAAAGCCAAGACAAAAGTTGGAATTTTAAATTTGGAATTACCAACTTTTAAGTTGGAAAAGCCAAGATTTAAGTTGGAATTTTCAACATTAAATTTGGAATTTTCAACATTAAATTTGGAATTAACATGCAACTTTAATGTTGGAATTTCCAAGATTAAAGTTTGAATTTCCATTTTTAATGTTGGAATTACCAACTTTAAAAATAATATAGCGTGGGACTAATACGCTTCCGTAGTAATTAGATCTAGACAATTAACAGCATCAACAAATGGCCTACAAATCTAGACAATTCAACAAATAACCTACAGTAATACTGTTAACAGATAACTTTATTCAAATTTAGAATTTCTTTGCATTCAAATACAAATTGGATAAAACATTGTAAATTATCTAAATTTCTGAACAACATACACCCCACTGCAATGCAATGCACCTCAACACACACACCAATCCATGATCCGCCACATGCTAACATAGAGGAGCTTTCCACACTGAGACTTACAGCTGAACAACACAACCAAACCATAGTACACACCATATCAAACTTATGATCCTCCACATGCTAACAAAGAGGGTGAATGTGGAAAGAGACTTACAGCTAAACTTGGCTTTTGCTGGTAAGGTTGCATAGTCCTCGGACTCCGAGCTCTCGGGTACAATGACGTCAGAGCGGCCAGACAGACTGACCTGACTTGGGGTCTGTTGAGGGGACACGGTTGTCTCCGGAACCTTGGGTAGGACTACCGGAACCGGAAGTGATTTCTGCCGAGGTAGTGGTGGTCGTTTTGGCGCTTGATCAATTGACGTGGATTTTTTGAGTGGAGGTTTGGCTTGTTCTTCTGTCTGTAAAACACCCCCCAGAAATTATGTACTATTATAAATCGAACAACATTTTTTGCAGTATTTTTATTCAGGGTTATACTTTATATGCTGCAATATATTTATATACTTTATATGCTGCAATTTGTTTATATACTTTATATGCTGCAATATGTTTATATACTTTATATACTGCAATATGTTTATATACTTTATATGCTGCAATATGTTTAATAAAAACAAACTTAAGATTCTGAATTGTTTTCATTGATTGGAAACGCGTCCTTGATCCACATCGAACCGCGTATGAAATAAATACATCTAAATGGAAATTCATTTTTTCCATGATTTTTTTTACCAATGCATTGATTGATAATTTGACATAAAAATGTCTTGTTAGCTGTTTTTCTCGCTGATTAACATTATATCATTTCTAAACAAAAGGATGATCGACGAGTGAATTATTAACAATATGGCTGAGGACAATGGCTTCACATGCATGTTTGATGCCGGGTTTACATAGCTAGTGAGCCCGCGGGAAGAAACCAATCGATACTTTGACGGTTTGATCTGCATAGAATCGTTTACCAAAATCAGAGAATATTCTTTTATTGTGTGTGTTCTACTGCTGAGAGATCGATATGTCACAGAGTTCTGGCTTCCAAGGATAGTCTTTAAAACACTCTGTTCTTGATTATTGTTTGATTTAAAGACTCCGCGATAGAAGTAATAAATGTCCTTTTTCATTTGCTGGACAAAAAAGAGATGTTAAAGCATTCACAGATAAGGGAATATTTTTTGTTTAACCCAGTTTGAAAGAACGGCCTTGTTTTTCTTCATACTAATAGATCACTTAGTGAAAAACAGCGGTTTGTGGGTAAATCTGAAAAGAATACCAAAAATCATAAAAGAATAATTCAGCTTCTTTCCTTTTTGCCCCTCAGAGCTACCAGTGAATGCTTTCTTATAGGCTATAGAAACTAGAATATGTGATATGGAAAAGAGGCTGCAGTGAGAAAACAAATAGCACGGAAGTTGTCGTTTCTCAAGCTAATTGATTACCTGAAGTTTGAGTTGTTTTCTTTATAGCTAATTTTTCACCTTAAGTCTAGTTGTCTCTTTACAACTCTATATTTACCTTATGTTTAGCACCAGTTTTCTTTTAAGTTTGTCTAGTTCTGTCTATAGCCTCTTGTTTTCCTTCAGTTTTTCTAGTTCTGTCTATAGCCCCTTGTTTACTTTCAGTTTTTCTAGTTCTGTCTATAAATCTCTGTTTACCAACATTTTTTCAAGTTCTTTCTATAGCCCCTTGTTTACCTTCAGGTTGTCTAGTTCTGTTTATAGCACCTTGTTTACCATCAGTTTGTCTAGTTCTGTCTATAGCACCTTGTTTACCATCAGTTTGTCTAGTTCTGTCTATAGCACCTTGTTTACCAACAGTTAGTCTAGTTCTGTCTATAGCCCCTTGTTTACCAACAGTTAGTCTAGTTCTGTCTATAGCACCTTGTTTACCATCAGTTAGTCTAGTTCTGTCTATAGCACCTTGTTTACTAACAGTTAGTCAAGTTCTTTCTATAGCTCCTTGTTTACCATCAGTTTGTCTAGTTCTGTCTATAGCACCTTGTTTACCAACAGTTAGTCTAGTTCTGTCTATAGCCCCTTGTTTACCAACAGTTAGTCTAGTTCTGTCTATAGCCCCTTGTTTACCATCAGTTTGTCTAGTTCTGTCTATAGCACCTTGTTTACCATCAGTTTGTCTAGTTCTGTCTATAGCACCTTGTTTACCATCAGTTTGTCTAGTTCTGTCTATAGCACCTTGTTTACCATCAGTTTGTCTGGTTCTGTCTATAACCCCTTGTTTACCTTCAGGTTGTCTAGTTTTCTCTTTAGTCCCTTGTTTACCATCAGTTTGTCTAGTTCTTTCTATAGCCCCTTGTTTACCAACAGTTAGTCTAGTTCTTTCTACAGCACCTTGTTTACCATCAGTTTGTCTAGTTCTGTCTATATCACCTTGTTTACCATCAGTTTGTCTAGTTCTGTCTATAGCACCTTGTTTACCATCAGTTTGTCTAGTTCTGTCTATAGCACCTTGTTTACCATCAGTTTGTCTAGTTCTGTCTATAGCACCTTGCTTACCATCATTTTGTTTAGTTCTGTCTATAGCCCCATATTTGTTTACCATCAGTTTGTCTAGTTCTCTCTATAGCCCCTTGTTTACCTTTAGTTTGTCTAGTTATGTCTATAGCCCCATATTTGTTTACTTTGAGTTTGTCTAGTTCTGTCTATAGCCCCTTGTTTACCAACAGTTTGTCTAGTTCTGTCCATAGTTCCTTGTTTACTTTCAGTTTGTCTAATTCTGTCTATAGTCCCTTGTTTACTTTCAGTTTGTCCAGTTCTGTCTATAGTCCCTTGATTACCAACAGTGTGTCTAGATCTGCCCTTACCTTCAGTTTGTCTAGCTGACTCGCCAGCTCTTTCTCCAAGGGAATGTCGTCCGTGGGGTGAATCCCTTACCTTCAGTTTGTCTAACTGACTCGCCAGCTCTTTCTCCTAGGGAATGTCGTCCGTGGGGTGAATCCCTTACCTTCAGTTTGTCTAACTGACTAGCCAGCTCTTTCTCCAAGGGAAGTCCTCCTTGGGGTGAATCCCTTACCTTCAGTTTGTCTAACTGACTCGCCAGCTCTTTCTCCAGGGGAATGTCGTCCGTGGGGTGAATCCCAGGATGCCACAGCCCTGTACTGAACACCAACTTCCGTCTCTTTCCACAGACAACACACACCCAGTCCTGAAGCTAAAAAAAATAAAGATTTGGTTATGAAACACTGATGCCTCCGTATGGCACTATATAGCAAGTGGTTAAGTTTCTTAAATACAATTCCAAGGTGAAGATCAAAAGGTTACAATTGTTGATATCCAAAGATACATGTAAGTCTTCTCAAGAGGAATACTTGTGATATATGAAAGACAAGTACTAACTATTCAAACGTTATTGCCAAGGTTAAAGGGTTTTTAAAGGTGGATTAAACTACAAGGCCAAGGTCAACAGTTCAAATATTATTATACCCAACAACAATAACCTAAACGTATGACCAAGGTTAAGGTTTGGAATGTTTTTGTAAAAGCTGGTCAAACTTCAAGGTCACGAGGTCAAACTTAGTGGTACCCTAAGAAAAGTATTTTCACAAAAAAATTTATCTGTGCACTCTAATTAAAATAAGATGTTAGATCCGCTCGCACAACCGCTATCTAATTTTAATTAGACTGATATCTGTGAAATATGTAATCCGTAGCCTAGGCCACTTAAAATGGGCAAGGTTTAAGTTTTTGCGGACGAAAAGACAGATGGACGGATGGAGAAGTGAAAAACTATATACTCCTGAATCTTCGATTATCGGGGTATAATTTCTGCTATAATAGATAAAAAATTAAAGTGTTGTTAGAATCAGATTGTTTATTTGCCCTTTATTTTCGACAGTATTGTATAGTTGACTACATGTGCTCAACAAAGTCAATGCCTTCTCTCATTTCTTTAGGTTGAATTTAAAATAACTGCTGAAATAAATCTGTCTGATACATGTTCATTTGTTCATTATTCTGTAATTAATTTCCGTTCACTCATTTGTTTTTTTTTTCAAAAAAATGTGTATGAACTACTAAAATTAAAAAATTTTAAGAAGTGTGTTTGTGAAATATTGTTGCCCCCGTATGGCAGCTTTTAGCTAGAGTTGAGGATTTTCAAACGAAATTCAAACTCTAAGGTCAATTTTAGATCAAAAGGTCAAAATTTATGGTATCCCAAGAAAAGCCTTGTCACAAGAAATACGCCTCTGGCATATGAAAGCCCTAGTCCTTAACTTTTTAAAAGTTATTGCCAAAGTTAAATTTTATTAAGAGTGGGTCAGACTCTAAGGTTAAGGTCGAAACATCAATTTTTAATACCCATTGATTGCATTGACAGATCTTGTCACAGTGAACATAATATGAAGGATGAAAGCCCTAGGATCAAGCGTTCAACAGTTATGGCCAAGGTTAAAGGTTGGATCTAGAGGTCAAAATTGGCGGTACCCAAAGAAAAGTCTTTTCACAAGGAATATACCTGTGAAGTATGACAGCCATAGCCCAACCCACTCAAACGTTACATTGTATGGGTACTGAAAAAGTGTTTGTGAACAAACAGACAAAAAGTCAGAAAGGCGAACGGACAGAGCAATAACTACATGCATACATATATACTCTTGAATCTTCGATAACTTGGACTTGAAAAACATAGAAACACCTCCCACACCTTGCAATATCATAGCTCATGTAATGGTATACATCTACATTGTAACGATAGGTGTCATATAAAGATTGTTTGTCTGCTTCACACCTTAGACGTGATAGATTCCTGGAAAGCTCCACAGTCACTACACGTGAGAACTCCACAGTCATTGCATATGTTTTGACCCGAGCGAATGCCCGGGGGTTCATCCAAACTGAGCTCATTTTTAAGGCAGATGGGACATAAATGAACTTCTGATTTCTCCGTTTCCACTGACAGCGCCCTCTGTTCAACTGTTGTCGCATGCGCAATGTAGTCTTCCTCGAGCTTCCTGAAAGAAGTATGTAAGAAGGTCAATGCCATTGTGAGATTTCTAGAATTTTATAATCTCTATGTAGTTACTTAATTTTAACAAGCCAAAAGTAAAATGTTTGATACGAAAGAGTGTATACATTGGCTAAAAAGAAATGAAATCAAGTGTATTGTTACCATATAATGCGCCCCAGTAATAGTATTTTGCCGTATGAAACATCCAACGAGTGAACGATTTTTCTATTCAGAGTAAAGTAAACGAGAATCATGTGCTTTATTAAGTATGTTTAGCTTAGACATTGTTTCTAGAATCGTGTTATTTATCATTTTCGTTCATAGCTCTAGTCAAAAATTCATTAAATCTGATGGACTTCTTTCTTTTAGTTCTCAATTCAAGTCATTTGATCCCTTACCAATATATTCCATTAAGTGGAATGCTAGATCGTTAATAGATTCTGGTCCAACTTCTTGATAAGAAACAATAAAACGCAAATAGCAATACACACAAAATACAATTTGACGGGATAAAATGTCACCCAAATCAATAGCCAAAGGCAAGGTCAGTACTAAAGTCAAATTATGCCGACCAAATATTGGAATATTAATTGGAATTGGAATATTAAAATTTCTCAGAAAAGACTAAAAAAATCCTTATACAAATAAGAAATTTTGTCTTCATGCATGTTTCAGAAAAAAAAACAACTAATCAAGCAGTCTTCAAGAGAGGAAAAAACTTTAATCAGATTACACTGTCAATGTTGAGTTTAATCAGATTACACTGTCAATGTTGAGTTTAATCAGATTACACTGTCAATGGTGAGTTTAATCAGATTACACTGTCAATGTTGAGTTTAATCAGATTACACTGTCAATGGTGAGTTTAATCAGATTACACTGTCAATGGTGAGTTTAATCAGATTACACTGTCAATGGTGAGTTTACAGTCCTTCTACGGGGTGACCTTTTGAACTTTATATAAAATCCTAAATCAGTGATTGGATACAAGAGTGATTGTCTCTGCTAATTGAAAACAAGCATGAAACAATGTAAATGGCACCGGATTAAGCAATGATTTTAAGGATGTTATAACTAGATAAAACTTTTGAACTGAGTACAGCAAATGTGCGGAAGTTAACGCTGAACAAGACTCGTATATAGAAATACGCCATTTTCGGTAATACTATCTACGATATCAGCCCCGGGGTATTCAATTCGCAATCATTACACCTGACTACTTTATAGTTAAAGGAGGAAACAAGTGTGCATGTTCGTTTTCTTACCTTTTCCCTGTTTACGGATTATTGCAGTTACATGTATTTGTTTTCGTGTGCATATTTACTGCTCTGACCTGTGCAACTGTTGTAAGTAATTTTTTTGTATCTTACACTCGTGCATAAGAAAACGTAAATACATACTTTTGTGGCTTTCGAGTGTTGTATAGCTGAGATCCGTCTACATCGGGGACGGTTGATTACAGTGAACAAGTGATGAATGAGCGGATTTAAATAACTGCTCTCAGATATGGCGAGTAAACAATCTAATATGGCGGAAAATTCTTTTTAAAGAATTGCTTCCAGCTTTAAGAACAATTAAAATTATTGCCTATCCCTTAGTGAGGGCTGTTCTAACGGATACGTGAAGATTGGAATGATCTGTTCTTTGACAGATAACATATAATGGACTTAAATAGATGGAAGCTAAACATCGAACAAAAATCACAGTGTCTAAGCTTAATATCATATCATTAAATGCCCTGAAATGAAGATAATGGATAGTATTCAAGCTCAAAAGTCAATTCAATTTATACAAATCTGGAACAGAGCAAAGCACAAGGCGTTGGAATTTGTGCCATGGACGAGTTAGCTTATATATCATATTGTAACTTTATCAAGGTTGTTCGTGATTTACGAGAATTTGTCAGTTGACCAGCACAGTTTTCTTTGTTATGAAAAAAACGAATATAAAAAAGATTTCAGTTCAGTGCTTAAATATTTCTTTTCAGATAACAAATTTATGAAAGAAGTTTTTTATTTTAGTTCAAATTTTTCAAAATAACATGCAGATAGATAATTCGACTTTGTCATAAGAAGTATAATTGTGAAATACGATAACCCTCGTACCAAATGATAAATAGTTATGGCAAAAGTTAATTTTTTTTTCAAAGAAGGTCAAACTCTAAGGTTTAGGTGAAAGGGTCTAAATTTTTGGTACACTAGGGAAGTTCTTATGACAAAAATATCACAAATGAAATACAGGCCTTAAAGTTTGAAGTTTTTCTAAGATAGGCCTGACTCTAAGGTTAAAGGTACAAAATTGTTCATACTCAAGTGAAGGTCTCTTCACAAGGAATACACCTGTAAAATACATGAAAGCCCTATCGCTAACTGTTCAAAGTTACGACCAAATTTAGTCTTTCAAATGTATGTCAAACTCAAACTCAAATATTGGGTCAACAGGTGAAAAATAAATGTTAATTGTGAGAGTCATAGCTCCAACACATTAAACTTAATGGAAAAGGTTGATGTTTTTTACCGAGAAACAGAGAAAAATGTATAAGATCCGAATCTTCGATTACGGCGACATAAAAAAAAAATATTTCAGAGAAAAGATAGCGACTTCGAGGAATAGTTGAATAATTGATAATGATAACAACCTCCCATTCCCTGTTTTAATATTTCATGTATGTTTATCTGTGGCATAGTAAGTCATGTACATGTATACTGCACTCCGTTTACTACTGTTTTATGAAGAGACTTACTTTTACATTCGACAGTTTACTTTTACATTTTAGTAATTGAAGTTTGCCTGTGTTTAAATTGTACAAGTAAGCTGTCGACTGTAAAAGTAAGTCTCTTCATACAACTCCATTATTAAGATTTTGTTTTAAGCCCCTTTAAAGTTCTTAAACGTACTTTGCATTCAACTAATGGTCAGCTGCAAAAAATATAGAGTACAGTATTCAACTAAAGGTCGGCTGCAAAGAAAATAGAGGAACGTTCAACTAATGGTCAACTGCAAAGAAATAGAGGCATGTTCATCAAATGGTCAAGTGCAAAGAATATAGAGGAGCCTTCACCTAGTGGTCAACTGCAAAGAAAAAAGAGGAGTATTCAACTAATGGTCATTTGCAAAGAAAGAGAGGAGTATTTAACTAATGGTTAACTACATTGAAAAAAGAGGGGTTTTCTACTAATGGTTAACTGCAAAGAAAACAGAGGAGCCTTCAACTAATGGTCAACTGCAAAGAAAACAGAAGCATGTTCAACTAATGGTCAACTGGAAAGCAAAAAGAGTAATGTTCAACTAATGGTCAACTGCAAAGAAAATAGAGTAATGTTCAACTAATGGATAACTGCAAAGAAAATAGAGGAGTGTTCAACTAATGGTCAGCTGTAAAGAAAATAGAGAAGTATTCAACTAATGGTCAACTGCAAAGAAAATAGAGGAGCGTTCAACTAATGGTCAGCTGTAAAGAAAAAAGGGGAGTGTTCAACTAATAGTCAACTGCAAAGAAAATAGAGGAGTGTACAAATAATGGTCAGCTGTAAAGAAATTAGAGGAGCGTCAACCAATGGTCAACTGCAAAAAAACATAGTAGAGTTCAACGAATGGTCAGCTGCAAAGAAAATAGAGGAGCGTTCAACTAATGGTCAGCTGTAAATAAAATAGAGGAGTGCTCAACTAATGGTCAGCTGTAAAGAAAATAGAGCAATGTTCAACTAATGGTCAACTGCAAAGAAAATAGCGCTGGGAATGTTTAACTAATTGTCAACTGTAAAGAAAACATATTAGCGTTCAACGAATGGTCAGCTGCAAAGAAAATAGAGGAGCGTTCAAGTAATGGTCAGCTGTAAGGGAAATAGAAGAGCGTTCAACTAATTGTCAACTACAAAGACATGAGAGGAGCGTTCAACTAATGGTCAGCTGTAAAGAATAGGTGCCTTCAACAGTGGCCCACTCTAGGCAAATGAAGTTGAAAGCTACCTCATCTGCATGGCAAAAGTTCAACATATGATCAATTGACGGTCAGTTGATCGTCAACGAAACGAAACGTGAGAAATGAATACTGACCGATTGAATTCTAATGTATAGTATTTTTTTTTTCGTATGGGTTCCGTGCAACTACTAGTAATTCATGAATACAGTCATGCATATAAAGATGGATTTATTGGATATGTTGAAGGAAAATAAGATAAAGTTTAAAGTATTTTTATATATATTTGCAATATATTCATAAAGAATAACAAGGTGCCAAAATATATAGCTCTCCATATCATGCCGAGTTGTACCAGACTACAGTGTAAACCCAAGAGATATCGAGAAAATCAATGGCGGAATTCCCATGATGCAGCGTAATCATGTCTGATTGTTTGCGTAATTTGACTTGAAGTGGAACTATTCCCCTGTGCCATATTATTTCTTTTATTCGGCGGTTCAGAACTTCCTAAGTTTGATATTATTCAGTTTGTCAATGTACGTTTCTACTTAAGATCCGCAGATAAATTCAGACTACTTACAGAAGGAATCGAACTATAATTATACTATCACAGTGTTACTTTGTTCCATCTTAATATAGATAGAAACAGTGTAATGCCCTATTTTTTTTTAAACTGAAAATCGTTTTTTTTTCACGAGGATTCATTTTTCTTGTTTTTCATGATATAAGGAGTCAATCAAAATTATATTCACTTTATGAAAAATTAATTTCCAGTTTCAAAACTACTTATTCATGATTGATTTAATTTCCATACCTGAAACCACGACATCAAAGTCCTCGTTTTTATTTCAAACCAGAAATTTCAATTTATTTACCCTAAGACGCAGTTCCTTATTGTCATTGCTGATTCTACCAGCTGAAGAAAATGTTCAAGAAACCCTCTTATTATTCTGTCTGTACAAGACCTATCTTATGCTTGACACTCAGTAGCAAGCAACATATAGAAATGCAGTTCATGTTCTATGGAAACGAAAGACACATCACACAAAGTACACACGAGGACAAAACAACACATCGTAGAT